ACTTTTCTCACATATTTCGCACTATTCGAAAGCCTCTCAACCATTGTCACTGTGGTGGTAGAAATGTCACTTAAGTTACAAACGACGCTTTTAACTGGAGAATAGGAAAGATACTAATCATGAAGAGAGGGGGGAATCCTCGTATTAGTGGAGAAAGGAGTGGAATTGAGAGAGGCCAAGGAATTTATTTCGTCATTCGGAAAAATACATATTTCATGGGGAATGTACCTAAGCAACCATCAGCTAATCACGAAAGGAATTACGTAGTGGTGGACAAAATACGTCGCTAACGCTGACACCGAGGGCAACTAAATGGTGCTCACATGAAAAAATTGGTCACGCAAAGGAAAGTTGAAGAGCCGATTTGCACAGGCAGCGGACAGGAAGAAAAGCAAAGGCGACATTATCTTAGAAAGATTTACGTAGCTACGATTAGCAAATAAGTGCATATCACATACAGAGGCTCTCATCGGCCACCAAGGCAAAATTCTGTAGATGCCTTGTGTTTATTTTCGACTTTGATAAGCCGTCATTAAATCTTAGTTCAAGCTAATTCAGTTTTAATTTCCTGATAAAAATTTCCATAACTAAACACATTGGGTGCAGCTATGCTAAGCGCATGTCCTGGCCGGCCTGAACACTTACATTAAAAACCAGCCTTTTTGACGCATTATGCCACATACTATAAAGCCGTCCGAGTGGCCCCTAATTTAATCTAGAAAGTTTCCAAACGAAATAGCAACGAAAAAGTTTGAGGCCAAACGCTGCATCAAATGCGAGTGTATCAGTAAAACAGAAAACGGGCGAAAACCCTCGTGGGCTTTTCCTCCCTTCCTGTTTGACAAATTAAAATTAGCAGTTGATCAAAATTACATGTTTGTTTCGTTGCGTGTTCCAGGTTTCAAGCACCGTTTTGGGGCGTGGAAACGAATATTCTGCGAGGAAAGCACGCGTCTCTTCGCCTTTCGCCCAAATAAACATTTGCATTGCTCGGTGCGCGTTTCAGTGTGTATGTGTGCGCGGATGTTTACTCAGTTCAAGCCACAGAATGCCCTTCTACCTGTTTTAAGCAAATTTCATTAACATGCTCAATTTCGCAGCATCACTATAATTATAGCTCTTTCCATACCTTTGCTTTCTTGCACTTTGCAATTCTGTACATTTTTGTATGCACCAAAAGACGCATTTCTAAAATAATGCCTGTCTGTTTAATTTGTTAAATCTTTGAATGCCATCAGTCGTGGTGCCAGGATTTTGGGACATTTGTCGTACTATGCTCCAGTTTGCATGTTTAATAAATAACAATCACGGATCATTCTATGCTGTGCCTTTGAGCCGGAGCTGAATTGTGGCTTTGCAGAGTCAAACTCGATAAGTTAAAATCACTAACAACAGAAGAAAGCGAGACATTTAATTTCTATATGTCACATCAGTTTGGCAGGGGAGGAGCCATAGCTGGAAGAGTTGAGAGGACGTGATATATTTTTGATGGGCACTTTAAACTGAAGTACTCTTTCAAGTCTTACCCCAGATATTCCACTTGACTGCGAATGCGAGCTCTGATGTATTATTTTGAGCGGTTTAGTAAACAAAAGATTTGCAACAGTGCTTGAACTTTGCTGCTTTTCCACTTATGCTTCATCCTGTTCACGACTACATCTTTAATTGAGCAAGCGTGTAATGAGAAAAAACAAATCACGGAGAAATCAAAAAACCATTATTGCAAGCGTGTCCGTTTTTTCACCGCAACGAATAAACTGAATGACCAAAATGAAAGAGGATTTGAAAAATTACCTTCTTACACGCCGATAGGTGGAAAATGCACTTTCAATGCAATTACTAATTCTTTTGTAAAAAATCCATACGTTTAAAAATTTGAGTGGCTTTTACATTTTCCAGCAAATTTCGTTTAAAAAAAAATTACTTTCCTATTTTTCGCGTTGTTTGGTCACCAAAAATTGTATCTTCCTGCAGTCAAGCCACCACGTTCGGAAAGTAATACATGTAGTATCTGCTACAGATTGCCCAAAAATGATGCTAGGCCTGCATCAGCACTGTTGCGGTAACTGCGAACAGCTGATCTTTGCATTACCTTTGCGAAACACAGTTAACCTGAAGGATCATTGTCGTCTTTGTGAATCTTAAAATTGCATCCCTAAGTTACGCCATAAAAACTGTTGCAGGGCTACAGCAAGTAATTATTGATAGCTGCTCCGCAAAATCGCGTGTGGACGGCCACTTGATGGAGGTTTTTTGACTGCTTTTGTTCGAATTTGTTCAAAAAAGTGGGCATTCAATTACATTTTTCTCTTCAAATGCTTAAGCCAGTTTCCATCAGTGGCAATTCTAACGTTGATTTTCGCCGTGTTTTTCTCCTTGAAAGATCATTTGGAATGTTTCCTTATTTCATCATCGCGCTCCCACCGGTACAGTTAATTATACTTATAGTAATGGAATAATCAAATAATAATCAAATGATCATAGTTATTACTGGGTTTGTCTTGGAAAAAGGAAATGCAAAATGCCGATTTCCGCAGTGTTAATGAATTCATATTCAACACCGCGCATATTCAAACTCATCTACTCATCGCACAACCTATATTCAGTGCTAGTTTTTGCGTGTCAAACGTTGGCCGAATCTAGACACTCTGCTGAAATGATTTGCGTAATTTCAGTAACCTTATGAAAGTATTGTAACCATTTTTCAAAAGAAAATAAGATTATCAGATTTACTTAGCTCTGGCCTGAGCTGAACAATTAAGGAAGACCATGCGGAAACTGTTATGGAAACGAACATAAGCTGTTCGATAAACCCAACACTTTTTCACTTCACACCTGATCACAGTAGAAAGGGAAGTAAGGCGTGGCAATCTTATATCATTTAAACTTCTCATGGGTTGCCTAAAAATGGTATTTCGGAAATAGCTTTGAAAGGTATTTCGGAAAATAGTCAGGCGATCAATGCGAGCATCTAATAGCTACTCTTCGTCGGTATTACTCCTCCTTTTGCAAGCAGGCTATATGAAATTAGTGACTTATCGCAGGAGTTTAATACATAGAGAAAAGAAATGGGCTGAAAGTTAACGCTAAAAATGAAAGTGATACGAATTACCGGTATGTTTGTATCTGCTTCAATCGGCCAGGACTACAGTCTCTAGCTGGAATCTGCATTTCGAAGGGATGTTGACTAGTGCAAATTTCACAGCATAGTCGATGTCTTCAGAGTATCGAATCAGAATAACTATGCCAGCTCTTCAGCACTACTGTGCCGAAGGCAATAATGCATGAATAAAAGTGTGGTCATAGGCGAAAGCTGAAAGGTACTTTGTTTGTTACGTAGAGAAGGGTGGAGCAAAAGACGCTTGCTGTGTCTCTCATGGCCATATAACAAAAAGATTTTCCGTAAGATGAGTGGTATGTAGGATAAAATTACGGCAACGCTGAAAAGCAAAATCCAGTGGACTGGGCACTCATCTTTCCGGCAACAGATTAACGCTGTCTGTTAATTAAGGTACCCTTAAAAAGGTAATCCTTGATGGCCTCCGAAGAGATGGCACACAGACGTCTCTTTAACTTCTTAACGCTCTCTGGAAACTCCGTTTTTGAGCTTCCTAACTGAATTCAAGTATCCGGCATTATGCATTCTCAAAATTCAAATATTTTTTTATCCTTCCTGCCCATGTCGTAGTTGCAGACTGACCTTTGAATAAAAGGGTAGCAGTTGTCCCTTCTTCGGCTGCGTTATAAAGTATGGAGAAGAAAAACTTGTGAATTGTAAGAAAAGTACACATATTTCTTATAGAGTTTGCAAAAAATGATGTTTGTTGTTGGTTTAAAAAAAGAACATATATCAATAGTGCATGTTTTGCTCTTGACTTTTCTCAAAAAGGAAAAAAATTGCACTTTTTCGGAACAGTCAACCGAAGGTATGCAGACGCTCTTCCAAATTTAATGTTTAGTATATTCATTAGTTCACACTTCTGACCTCAAGCAATAAATTTTAGAGTTGTAACTTCGATTATTACGAATTCAAAGCGACGCAAACACTTTGCCTTAGTTGCTCACTTTGTGTGCTGACCAATGCAACCTTTCAGAGTATGCTGCAGCTGGTGCATCGCTTCTTTACACTTTTACTTTTATTTCACGGTCACTCCAGATGGGTTATCCATGCGAACGAACGTCCTGTGGAGCATGGCGGTGTTCTAGAGGTGGCGCCGCGATATTCGCTCAACATGCTCAACCCGAAACTGCCGCCACAAACAACAATCCAGGAGCGGCCCCCTCCGCCGCCGGTTGTCCGCAATTCGCTGAAGCAAAAATTGGATCATTTTAGCGAAGTTGATGGACGAATCTGGAGGCAGGTAGCTTGTGTTACTTTTGTGGCAGTTGCGAGAAAACAAATCCAGAAGTTTGATCGTTTCGCGGTTGGCAGGAATGTAGCACCGGCGAATAAGAAAATGAGAAGGTAGCAAAGAAATGGGAAAGAGGATTATGGCAAACTATTAAAGAAGTGATTGTGATTAACGTTACGAGCTAATTCTTCTGATTCAGAGAGCCTGGATAGGGCCATCGGTATCAATCACTACTATCGTGAACCCTTTTTACTACTGCATTTTTGCATCTTGAGAGGCGAGGAATTTTCTTTAAGATGAGATTATGAATGCGTATCAACTCCTATCCCAAATTTCGGCTCGGAAACTGCGAAAGCTAGGAATACACTGCGAACAAAACTCCTAATCGTGTACTTATATATGACTTTGATCCTAGATTTAGGTGCAGGCAAATTGTGTAATCTGAAAAAATGTAGGCTTGATTTTTTAGCTGAAACGGAATCTGATTTAGAGCTTTTGGATAAAAGGGTAAAATTTAAAATCGCTCCATCTCCCGGTTTTTAACATTAGACGCAAGTCAAGCACATTTTATGGTTCAAAAATAACAAGATTTAAGACTGAAATTGGGACGCATATTTTACGGTTTTCCGGCATTCAACTGCTCTGAGCCCGCAACAGATACAGTCCTAAAAATTCATATTCGCAATCGCCTTCCAGCACGCGTCCTTGTTTAATAGCCTATAATTACGAGCTAAATTTCGATGTATGAGGATTCACGGTTCTTGATGTATTTAACTGCGTTTTCTGTGGATTCCCCTATTATGTATGTGTAAAATTTTTTTGAAAAGCTTTTTTTGGTAAGCATCTCTTTCCTTGAATCCAAAAAACGATTTTCAAAAAAGTGCAACAACTGCGTCCAATGGCAATTTACAATTCAAGAAAATGGAAGACTTGCTGTTATTATAGTTTTTCTTGCAACGAAAATCACCGCGACAGAAGCCGGATGGCCCAGTGTTTTTGGTTGTTGGTGGCGAAAATGCAGCCGATCGTGCTTGGCTGTCAAACGAGGGCCTACCTTATGTACAATTAGCGGACCAAATTAATGCGAGCATTTATTTACTCGAACATAGATTCTACGGCAACAGTCGGCCTACAGAGTAAGCTTGAGCTATATTTGAAATGATATCCAAGGACTCATTTTGGTTGTGGTCGGCTTGTAAAACTCGTTACAAAGCGAATCTACTCTTTGCAGTTATGCACACAGACGTAAATGTAGCGCTGACTTAATCCAACGTTGCATTTCCAAACCATCTGAAAGCACACGTAGATGTATATACATGGTTACATGCAGATATAAAAGTATACATGAGTTTCCTGCTCCTTTTCATCGAATAAAGTGGTTATTTTAAAAAATCTATGAATTTCTAATTAAGTTAATTTTCTGAAGTTCGTGTCGAAATAAGTCCTCAAAATCAAAAATTAAAAAAAAATTTTTCCATTATAAAAGGTTTCAACTCATCTAATCAAATTCAGCACCCCCTCAGCGCTTCCTTCCCCTTTCCTTCTTGTGCTTTCCGAAAGTGATGGTATTCAGAAGAAGCTTGAATGGTAGCATATACCAACAGCATGCGCCAACTGGCAAGACTGTCGATGGCCTCCTCTTTCATTGCTGGTAAAGAAACTGCTGACAGTGGAATCGACTCCGTGGAATGGGATAGTAAGAATTAGCCAATGAAAAAAAGTGCGATTCCGGAAGGATTAACCGTCCCCTTTTATCACAACAGCATTACAAGTTGCCATCGCTCTTGTACACAAGCCAGTCTTCTAGCGAGTTAAGTAATGTATGTTAATAAAAATCCAGGTGGCAACAAGAGGTTTTGTGCTGAGCTAAAATCAGTCAGTTCATTAACAGTATGACTGGTTGCTGCTTTGTAATTTAACAAGTGAATTTATTTCTTGCAATAGAAATGTTAATTTGTAGAAATACGTCCGTGCACAATCTGCAGTATTTAAATGCAAAGCAAGCCGTTGAAGATATCGATAAATTTGTTGAAGAAGTAAATAGGCGCGAGAAATTCAAGACTCCGAAATGGATTACTTTTGGTGGAAGTTATTCAGGTTAATTAAAAATTTCTTCCTGGATATTCCATTTTTCAAAAAGTATTTTACTGTGGCTTAGAGAGTAAGCGCAGTGCTGCTAATAGTCAAACCACTCCCGTGATTTCTTTATGTTTAGGCCATTATTAGGACAACTACTAAAACTTGGCCCTACCCCTCAGTAAGCACTCATTTCTGAGCTCGAATTTAAGTTAAATCTTGCTTTCAGATTTTCTGTCTAGATAAAGTACTGAGCATCATGTCTAAGACTGTTAGTTTACTCTCAACACCGAATTTCAGGCTGAGCACGAAAACTGCCCTCAACAAACCACTTCTTATCTATAAGCGAGAACTTAGCTTCTTTTTAGTCAATAACCCTGCCCCCTTCCTTCCGTTATGACCATCGATACCTGAATCACCAACCCAGTCCTCAATTCTTCCCCGCCCTCATTCCTCCATCCAGGCTCACAATCATTACAGCTCATTTTCCAGTTCAGCCTAACCGAGCTGAGTCGAATGGGGCCAAGCGGAGCCAATCCAAGTTTCAGTAGTTGCTATAAAATAGAGCATTTTCTGAATTTCCTCCCACAAACAATCTTCACCTTTTACCGATTGGTTTTCTTTTTTCGTGTCTGCACTGTTTTTCTCGAAGTAGAACTTGTGTTGCAGAAATCAGTAATAAAACGATTTTTCCAGTCCTGTGATCCACTGATAAGCCAAACGCGTAGTAAAACTGGGACTCGCCGGTGCCAGCTCACGCTTTTTATTATTTGCGTAGTAAAGGCGCATCTATTAAAAATAGCTGCAGCGACAAAATGCATGTGAAGTGCAAATTCAGTTCTATGTTGAAAATTCAAAATTTTCGTGAGATAAATTATGCTCGCTGTTTACTTTTGGCCAGCTATCCGACTCAGCGAATTGGTAAGGATCGGATTTTTCGCTGAAGCCTTTGAACAATAGTTTAGTAAGCGGAAGC